ACGTGAATCAAAACCTCCACTACCTACCCTACCTAGTACCTAAGCTTGTGCTTGTACCGCCGCTAATCTTCAGGCGGCGACATGGGAAATGCGATGCGCTGTCTCCACCTACTGGCCGTACCACTACAGCCAGCCACTGTTAAGACCAAGCTCAGTTGGGAATTACCCGATGCGTGGTTCCAGAGGCTCCTCTCGTGGGGGCCTGGAGCCCTGTCAATCGACCACCTTGCTATCATGAGTGACTTTATTGGGTAACCAACTAAGTAGGTACCTTGTCTTGAGGTAAGGTAAGGTAAGGTCTCCAGGGACTAGGGTCTCGCTAAGGGTTCTCATCCACTTTGCTCTGCTGGGCTGCTTCTCACCTCAGGTCACTTACACACCACAGGTCAGGAAACGGAGCCAACGGAGATGGGATGGCGTCTCTGGAAGGGGGACAGGAGGGGGGAGTCGGCGCTTCTTTTGTTTTAAATCTCTCTAGTCGAATGGATCGTTGCCTTTCATTGAAATAGTCTGGCATGCCCTTCCAGAAGCTGGGTCCTTCGATATTTGGCCCATCATCTTTCACCCTACCTTACCTTGCCTTACCTACTACTCCGTAGGTACACTATTATAAACAACCACAGTCGACCTCGTCAACAACACCAACTCATATATATACCTATTACCACACAGCAAAGTCGATATACCTACTATATACTATCGACGCAAGACCAAACCGACAACATGCATCCTTCCAAGTTGCTCACAAACCAGCCAAGCAAGGCCATCTACATTGATAGCATTGCCACACTCTCCGACCCTCTCTCCTCCATGTCTTCTACATTCTCTCTTGTCTCTCTCCTCACCATGGCCTATCACATCCGAACACCACTGCCCTCGAACCAGGAACGTCTTCTCACTCTCTTGAACACCATGTCGCCAGCCTTAAGAACAGAGACAGAGTCCAGATACTCCCGCGAGGAGATCCTGAACTCCTTTGTCCACTTTCTCAGCCCCGTCCTCAACGGCATGGCAGGCATGCTTGAGCTTCTCACAAATGTTGACGCCTTCTCACGCCCAGAAGATTTCCGTCAATTCTGGAACCTTGAAAGGAGCAATTTGATCAGAGACTTTGTGGAGAGTGGGGGACCGTTGCGGGGGATGCAGGGCTACGACGTCCCCTTTCTCGAGACCTTTGTGAAGGACCCCTCTTGCAGAATTGCTCTTGGTAGCAATAATGGTATGCTTTTGCTGGTCCCAGGAGACGCCGAGGTCGGCGATGATGTTTGGTGGGACGAAGACGAACAGCGTCTCACCGTCTCCAGCAAAGGCGCTGAAGACCTCAACACCAATGCTGAAGCCTATCTGGACACTGGCTCCAGGATAACCGTTATGGCTATTTCTTCTGCCACTTGAAGATTGGCGATTTCGCACCCCATGACGACTTGACGATATATTTTGACTCTACCTGATACGTACTCTTGGATTTTTGATATTTTTTTTTTTGGAAGAGGAGATTTGATATCCACAGCGGGATTTTTAACATTTTTTGGGTTCTCTTGGGATTTGCAGGCAGTTAACTGCGCTTACTGGAGTGCTATGGCGGCGTATGAGCGATGATAAACCTACTACCGTACCTGCCCAAGTGAAAATAGAGGTAGCATGTATACGGAGTAGAGCAGATCCATTTCTGCTTGAGTTTATCTTTGATATGACAGTTGGAAATTTATCAAACTTTGATCATAAATGGCATGTGCAAGCGCATCCCACGTGCTTAAGCCACAGTTCTATGCCCATCTCAGTTAGTGTCCCAGCCACGCACTGCATAGTCCACTTTTTTGCAACTTGCAGATCTAGCCTACTAGCTCTCCCATCTCAGCTGCGTCATCTTGACTGGCCCTGCATCCTTTTTCAACTGTGTGTACCTTAGCACAATGGCGTCAGACGAAGAACGAGGAAGCAGGCCCAGCCGGAGGCGCTACGAGGACGAGGACCACGAAATCAGAGACGATCGTCGATCGAAATATACAGAACGTGACTCCGGACGCCGAGAACGTCGTCGATCACGCGACCGACGCGAGCGAAGACGGTCCCGGACACCAGAATCTTCACGGCGGAGGTCACGAAGCCGAGACCGTCAAGGAGACACAAATCGTGAACATAGACGTCGAAGATCACGAGACGATAAGAGTTCGAGGCGAAAACGTGACGATGATGACGGGGAGGGTGACAGACGGGTCGCAAAGCGAAGCCCCGTGAGACGTACTGGTCCTTTACCATCTCAGGCAGACTCTTTCGCCGTTACCACCGGCGAGGCTCCCGAAAAGCCCAAGGAAAAGCCCAACTTCGGATCCACGGGCGTCTTGGCGGCGGCATCGAATTCAGTAGCACAGGCGGACGGCACGACAGTTACACTCAAATATCACGAGCCCTCCGAAGCGCGTAAACCGTCGCCACGCGATGTATGGAAGTTGTTCGTTTTCAAAGGCCAGGATATTGTCGACACGATAGAGCTCAGCTCGAGGAGCTGTTGGCTCATTGGGCGAGAAATGTCAGTTGTGGACTTGCCCGCCGAGCATCCTAGCATCAGCAAGCAACACGCCGTGATTCAATTTCGCTATGTTGAGAAGAGGAACGAGTTTGGAGACAAAATTGGGAAAGTCAAGCCGTACCTCATCGATCTGGAAAGCGCCAATGGAACGGTATTGAATGATAGCAAGATCCCAGATAGCCGATATTTGGAGCTCAGGGATAAGGATATGATCCAATTCGGGCACAGCACGAGAGAGTATGTGATAATGCTTGCTCCACGAGATTGATTTCCATGAAAATGGAGTGATGCTCATTTGAGTAAGTGGTGACCAGTCTCACTGGAGGTTCAAGGTTTTATCTCCAAGATGGAATCATACGCCAAGCACATTCGGACCATATTCACACAGGCATTGAATGCAACCGGGCAAAGGAACATGTTCAATATGACCATTCAAGGGTACACATACGATGTCTAGAGCCAGGCCAACAGCATTCGGAGGCGGAGGCGATGTTCCCATAGAGGAGAGGCCGATTCCTCCAATTTCCTGAAAATGAGGCCACGGATCATGGAGGCTCTCGGGTGCCTCCCGAGCTTTCAGTTACGGTATCAGGGGGCTGAGCGATGACTCAACTACACAATGGCTTGGAAACCTCCTTGAGATTGGATGACTGTTGCGGCTGAAAGCAACTTGCCGGGGCCTGGATTCATGTCGACTAGATCAATGAGATTTAGCCCTGAATGCGCCACATAAGAGAGGTTGCCCAAAAAACCAGGCTCTGAGCCAAAGCTCATGCTATGAGTCTGGATAGGATTTCTCTCCGATCTGTATTCACAAATTGGGAGTGCAAACTCTTGCATTGGCGCAAGGACAATAACAGTTAAAGCTTTCACCTCAGATAGACCTAACAGAAGGCAAGAAAGGCGTTGATTCTTTATTTGTGTCTTGTTCTAGAGCATTGCTATTTGCGTAGTGCTACTATATGTTGTTTAACGCTTTTTATTTCTTATATTTCCTTAACATTAACAGATTTAACTACCTATATAAACTAACCTGCTAAAAGATAAATAGTAAGTAGTAACAGTACTACTATTAAACTTAGGACAAAGTATTAATAAAATACTCTTTATAAGATTATTTATAAAGGTTTATTATAAGTAAATAAAGATAATAAGTAAATAGTATTTAACTAAACTTATCTAAGCTATACAATACCCTATATAAATTAAACCCTATTAAAACATAGCCTTATAGTCTTCTGTCTATCCTATCTTATAAAGATACCAAGCCTTCCCTTCCTTTATATAACTGCCAGAAGACACAACACAACTGGCAAAAAGACACACATACAACAGCAGGTATTCGCTGGTCGTCACCGACCCAACTACTAATCCGCCCCTTATCAGCTTATCTATGGGGGAGCGGACGGGACCCCGAGTTCTCTGATAGGTATGATCGTATGTATCTGAGTGAGGGCATCACCAGATCCATAAGGCAGTCAACACCAAGATTATTCAACAGAGATAAACGGCATGTCCCTCCTGAAACATCACAACATGAGTTACCAATGAGTACAAAGCAAGTAAGTTCCAGGAGTATACCTAAATTATAGTAAAAGGCAGGTAGCTCTGCTGTGTGAACTACCTTAGCTGCCATGGCTTGAAGTTAAGACAGGGGTTTTTGAGTATATAGGTACTAGGTATAGTTACCTAGGTATACTTGTCGAAAGAACCATGTTACCTTTTAAGCAAGATATGAATTGACTAACGGCCTAAGATTTTATATAATTAAGAAAATTTTAACTTTATTTATGTAATATAAAGCTACTTAAGTAGTTTTTATAGCTAAGGTACTTAAAGCTTAAAGCATATCTCAATTTCACAAATCCCAGGCTTGGATTCCTTTTGTAAATCTACCTAGATCTAGGTACCCATGATGCTCATTACATCCATGTTATGGAACAGTACTCCGTATAAAACGAGCGAACACCCCTACCAATTCTAGCAGCCCCCGAAAATGTACCTACAAACAAAGGTCTTAGCTGAAACCCGTTTGGCCAACGCGATAAAAAAGCCCTACAGGCACCATGAAGCTGGGCGAGAACTCAGCCACTGCCCCTGACACGGACATGCACCATTTGACTCAGCTTTCAATATCTACCTCAAGTTTGGTACGAGTCTTGTGATGATGGCCCCCAATAGTTGAAGATGGCGCGTCGCACTCAGCCCGGCGATAAATAGAATAACAGGGTTGCAACTCACAGCCTCGGTGAGAGGAAATGATTGCTTACACCCGTCACTTAGTAGTCTAGGCAGCGCAATTGTCGACAGCCTCGTTCTGATTCGAGCGGCCATTTATACGCCGATCAGCCGCGCATTTCTTGCAAGGTTGCTTGCTTCCTTGCTTGCTTGACTTGGCTCTGTTCAGGGATTCCCCAATGTTTGGAACGACACCACGACTATCGAGCTTCCCCATTTTCGACGCCACATCATGGTGAGTCTCAGTGCTCGAATGAAACCTGTCGAGTCTCATTTATAGTGTGCAGTAGTTGACTAATAGTAGCCGAAATAGGGGTCCGAGAACCGTTCAGTAGCCCGCTACGAGACAACAGTGGTATACACTAATCCAGAGGCCAATGTTGACATTGTTCTTGTCCATGGGCTCAATGGAACGCCCGACAAGACATGGACGGCCAAGAATGGAACTTTCTGGCCTCTAGACCTATTACCAGTCGCACTCAGAGGCGCCCAGGCTAACATCCTGGTCTATGGGTATAATGCAGACGTCTACTCCAAAAAGAACAATCAAACAGCCAGCGACAGCTTCATTCACCAGCATGCGCAGAATCTCATAACAAATCTGACCCTCCATCGCCAAAGCGAAGGCACGTTCAAGAACCCCATCATTTGGGTATGCCATAGCTTGGGGGGCATCCTCGTCAAACGAGCTCTCCTCTACTCATGTGATGTTCGCGAACCTCACCTGGAGCATTTCCGATCCATTTTCGTTTCGACCTTCGGCCTGGTCTTCTTAGGAACACCTCATGTTGGCTCAGATGCAGCTACTTGGGGTCTCATTCTTCAGGCCATGTCCGATGCAGTCATACCCAAGAGGTTTTTCGACACTGAGTCGGTGCTTTTGAAGACTCTTAAGAAAGACAACGAAACCCTGGCGAATATCAACAGTCACTTTTTGGATATATACCAGCGCTTTGAGATTCATATGGTTCGCGAGAATCAGAAGACGGATATAAAGGGCCACAAGTATGCCGTTCTTCTCTTTTCGGAAGCTTGGTCACCTAGCTGACTTTTTATCATAGAATTTTCATTGTTGATGCCAACTCAGCTGGACCTCAGTTGCCTGGTGTTACTTACTACGGGATAGAGGCGTCGCACTCCAACATGTGCAAGTTTGATGGCACCAACTCTCCAGGCTTTCGTAACATTGCTATCACTATACAGCAGTGGATTCAGAGGGCCCCATATGCTACCCAGGAGCGATGGCTTGCCGAAGAAGACGAGAGACGAGCGCGTGCCATGGCAAGGGCAAATGAGATTATGTCGCCTTACACAAGTCAGACTCAGACACCTGTGCTGGGTCATGATACATCATCGTTAAGAGGGAAGAAGCCAGTCCTGGAAGGATCATCTCTGGCGCTACTCAACAGAGATGAATCAATCTTCGTTCACCCGGAACGCTTCCGACCCAACTCGCTCTTCAGAGGTCGACAGCAAGAGTTGCAGAATCTTCATGCCATGCTCATGGACCGACAGCGCAGAGACCAAGGTACCTCTGCTGTTCTCATATGGTCAGTTCCTGGAGGGGGAAAGACACATCTCGCCAGGGAATATGCTTTCAAGCATCGCCATGACTACTCATGCGGCGTCTTCTGGATACGCACAAAGACTCCTGAAGATCTCGAAGACGGATTCTTGAGGATTGCAAAACATGCCATGTCTCGGGCAGAAATTGATATACAGGACGAGACCACTCTCCAGAATCCGAGCAAGGTGATCCATTTGGTTCGAAACTGGCTTGATCGATCAGAGAACTGGCTCCTCATCCTGGATGGAGCTCTATATGACACCCCGAATCTGAAGAATTGCATACCCGATGCGAGAAACTCAAGCCTGATCCTTACGTCTACTGACACATCCATCGCAGGGGACCATCACTTTGACAATCCCCAGAAACTCGAACTCGGACCCCTGGCTGATAATGATGCTCACACATTGCTGCTTGAGGGTATGGACAAGAAGAAACCCTGGACTCAGGACGATTTCGACCGCGCTCTCGAAGTAGTTCGGTTGGTCGAAGGTCTGCCACTAGCCATACATACCGCAGCTGGCCAAATGAAAGCTACCAAAGAGCCACTGGCAAAGTACATTCGATCTTGCAAGAAGCGACCCCGTACCGGCGGGCTGGGGGCTTACAAAGCTGTGCGAGAAAAGCTTAAGGAACGAGGGGAGACAGCGGCGCTTAACCTCATGTACTTACTCGCATTCTGGGGAGGACGGGTGCCGGTCGAGATGCTATCACTTGGTATGTTATCAGTCCCCCATCACTCCCGGAACGAAGCTAACTTGATAGGCCTCAAAGCACTTGACAAACGCACTCCTGTGCGTACCCATGACTCCATGGGTAAGCGGAGTCTTAACAAGACATTCACCGTTCTCATAGCGTTTGCTCTCATCGAGCGTGACGAGATAGAAGATGTCCCATCCGTGAGCACGCCCAGCGAGACGATCCCGAGTTCAAGACCAATGGAGCCTCTCGATTTGCTCAAGATCCACGGCATAGTGCAAAGCTTCTTTCTTGAGGCCTTGAAAAAAGACGGGCAGTACAACTTTTGGCTTGAACGTGCTGCCGCTGTTTTCCTCGAGTCTTTTGACCGGGGAGATAGCCGTGCCAAGAACAATAAGGAGATGGGTATTCCAGATGACTATCGAAGGTATGCCACCCAGTGCCGAAGGATTTTGAAACATCTTGAAGAGGTCGATAGGCCGAGTCTAGAACTCATGTCCGTTGAGCAAGCCTTGCAAGGCCGTTTCGAGGGTATGCAGGTTAAGATTCGCACCTTGGCGCGCTCAATGACCACAGACTCTGAAGGAAGATGGGTTCGGGGACCCTATGTGTCGGTATTTGAGAAAAGCAACAGTGCTTCTCTGTCGAGTTCTTTTACCACTCCGGACGATGACGACATCGAGGAAGAAAAGCAAACCTCTTGGGACTTGCGCACGAGTTTCCCTTCTCTAGAAGCAGACAACGATGCACCATATCCTTACGATAGTACGATGCCCGTACCAGTGTTCTATGAGGATGACGATAACCTGATGGGAAGCGTGGTTTCTCAGCAACGGCCAGCAGAAAGGCGTTCAAGTGGCAACAGCCCGAGGGTGTCTGAACGTAATCTGAACGGTAGTTGGACTTTGATCAGGGAACCAAGTGTCCCTCGATCAAGGCCACTCTTTGAGCCTACCGAGCGCGTTACAAGGCCGACAGTCAAAGGCCAGAGCTTGGGGGCTATTCCTCGACCAGACTTTCACCATCGAGAGATAACTCGCGAGCGTGCTGAAGAAAATCCGTTCATGGGTTCAGGAGATGGCATGATCCCAACTATGGAGATTGCCAACGCAGACTGGCTCACCCATGATCGCATTACAGACCTTCCACGCGCAAGTCATTCGGATACATCTCTCGATGCAGATATTGACCAGTGGGCACCGGGCCTGCCTATCACCAGCCACTCCGTGAGCAGCCTCAGACCTATACCTCATCATCATCAGCACCAAGCATCTTATCATCGTCGTACTCTCTCTACTGGGGAGGTTTTGTCATCTTCCTTGCCAGATAGCCTTGCAAGCAGCACCCTTCGACCAGCGTCATCAGGACCTGAAAGTCACTCTTCTCAGCCCATGTCACGAAACTCTTCATCTAGATCAGATCAGCCTGTCTCGAGTAACCCTCCTGTTCCCAGGTGGGCACGCCGTGTACCATCGGCCACAGCCACAGAGCCCTCGCCACGACGTATCACAAATAGTCCTGACAATAGCTCTTCGGGGTATCAATCATGGCAGCTGAGACAATCAGGGCCCTGGAATCCTGAAGGGGCTTCTAGAAGGGAAATCACTTCGAGCCCTAGACCAGAGGTGGAGGCGGATGGCGCGGACATGGTGAGATCAGGTTCTGGAGGGATTCAATTCCATGGTCGCATCATTGAATTTGGAAGACTGCAGCCAGCAACTGCGCAACCAGTTTATCCATTAGAAATCAGCGAGTCGACTCACGCTCTGGAAAGCCAGGCTACCGCCACTCGAAGAAGACGGAACACAAATAGCCAACCTCTTGGTTATCCCCGACCAGATAAATCACGATAAGAGCTCGGGAGAATTTCATAGACAAAAGGTCCTGAATGCAGACGAATATGTATTATATGATGTACGAAGAATAAGAAGTATATTTGAAAGACCGCGTCGCGAGGATGTGTTTTCAACTATTAACAATACAATCGTGACTGGCCTAAGGGTACGTTCATGCAAGTATACCGGATGTGGCACTTCTCAATGCTTTGCCTCTTCTTCATCTCCCTTATCTGCTTATGTTTTCCCCTCTCATACTCATAGAGTTGCTGTTCTAGGCACACCGTTCTCGGAGACAAGCATTGGGGGTAATTCTACGGGACTCCGACCATTTCTGTAACTCCATAAACGGCTTACGTCTTTCACACGGATTCCTTGATCGTCACTAGCCTCCTTAATTCTGTTTGAGATTCCATGAACCTCAATCGGCGTTGAAGCATCGCCAGATCCAAATCCCTGCGTTCCAGCCCATGATATTTCGAAGGCTTCTCTCGCGTTGGCAGAGGCGCTGCTTTCTTCGCCGACTTTGATAGCCTCGTTCATGAACTCGTTGTCTTCATCAGCGCCCACATACTCTCCAGTCTCAGCATCCTTCTTCAAAGGGAACATGGCGTTTAGGTAATGCTGATTCATCTGATGGCCACCGTGGCGGCCGTCTGCTCGAGAAAACAATCGCCCCTGAAACCGTGGGAGTTCTCGCGATTCCATCCTGTTTGTTGCAAAATGCAGTATGCCCCATATTGCAACAAAATCTGTATTATTGGCATAGTGCTCCACGTGCAAGATACACCTGTCTTTGGCAGCGGAAATAGATCGAGTCGACACACCAGAAGATTCTTTCCTAACCGGATTGCGAGCCTTTAGGGCCAGGTCATCCTTGGCTTCGAGTGGGCTGCTAGGAGGAGAGTCGAAGGAGGACTCGGTAAGAACAGTGCTCATCGCAGATAAGGGCTTGAGGCGAGCCAGCATCTGCGAAGACCGATGGCGATGGGGATTGTTGAAGTGATTGGCAGCGTTTCCAAAGGTATAAACCTCTAGTTTAGACATTAGATCTTGTGGTAGCTCCTGGAGCAACCAATCGAGAACCAGACCCCCTTCGATTCCTCCTTGAGAGTGTAGCACGAAGACGACTTTGGATTTGCTTTCGTCATAGAGGATATCTTTGAGAAGTCTGAAACAGATTCTGACATCCCCAGTTGCGTAGCCAAAATTGCGCTGTACCAGACATTCAACAACATCAAATATTATTCCGCGAGTCTGGTTGTGAATACCAAGAATAGGCCGGCCAAAAGTCAGTGCAAGTCGGTTCAAGTTTGACTGCATCCAATGTTCTCTGTGATCTTGTCAGTGGAGAATACCATGTTTTAGCTGAGATTATCATACCCAACAGCGACGCCGTTCAAGAAAACCCATTGTTCATGGGCGTGCTCAGGCCGAGCCTTGGCGTACTTTTCATCCGAGGTATAAGTTTCATTACTACCATTGAGGAGCTTACAGATGAGCCAGTTGGTAAACATGAAACCAGCAATACCTGTGGCCGCCATCCAGACCGGAAGCACAATAGAGAATGGCAGGGCTATGATGAACCCTAGCTGCAGGAAGAAGAGAACCAAGTGGACGACAACGCAGAACACGTTCTGAGGGGATGGATAGAGCTCATCGAAAACCTTGCATTTGAAGGGATAGATGGGCCAGATGACCCACGGCAGTGCCCATACATAGACAAAGAAATAGTATATGTCCTTGGCGAGAAGCTTGAAGGGAAAGTCGGTATGAGAGTAGTCGATGACGGACTCTTCGCCAATCTGAGAGCGATAGTACTGAGTTGCACCCATAGTGGTGATGCTATGGATGTACTTGAGGTTTTAGTAGGTTAGTAGGTTTTCATTGAGAATCGAAATAGGTGGTAGGTTGACGTTGGGAGACTCGAGGTGTTGGCATGTCCTTTGTTTTGTTTACCTAGCTTAGCAGGTGCCTAGGTAGGTAGGCACTTAGATGTGAGCCCGAATATGGAAGCAAGACAACTGACGTTATGAGAAACGGTCGCGTGACAAAAAAGTCTAGAACGAAGAGCAGGTGCTTCACATGCAACAAGACTGCTGACGGTCTTTGAAGCAAAAAAGCTCTAGCTACTAGGTATATATTTACACAAGTGCGGGCTGGCAACTAAAATGCTCAGCCTTGTTCCACGTCGACACCCTCATCCCCAGATTTGGACCAGGCAACGACGAGTAAGAGGCCGAAATACCATGTCAGATGCCCCCAGTTGACGATGGAGAATTGGATGCGACGTCATCACACCAAGTCGGCGCTGGGATCGCTGAGGCTTAGTGGGCTCGGCAGCCAGGGCATGGTACATATGCATTGATGGTTGTGGCTAACTGGAGCCAAGACGGATGAGATGACGGGAAGGGTTGGGTTGTGAGAGTTACAATTCCAAGTCGTGAATATGGACTCTCCTAAAGGTAACTGTAAAGAGCAAGATTGAAATTTAAACTCCGAACGTGTACTATTGTACAAGACAAGGCCGTTGAAGATCCAATCCAATGGGGCGGACAATGGGATTGTTTCAGTGCCTGCTCCACCAATACGATTCCAGTATCGCGGGTCCATCACTAGGTACTTGGACGGGACATGGGCCGAAGTTTATAGGGTAGCTACACCTTATTATCTTGATTTCTAGTAATGAAGCCAAATCGCGGAATAATAAGTCTTGGACTTATACTTTCAGGACATTAATGCTTACGGAAGGGGTATTTGGGGATTTAACAAGGTAGCGGTTTTAATTAAGGCGTGGCTATTCCACTAAATTAACTACAAACACAAGACTGCATTAGAGAAAAAAGACAATGCCATGTTTTGGTCCTAATGGCTACCACTTGATCACTCAAAAATACTCTGTCTCGGTCTCGTCCACAATTTGCACCTTGATACACCCATTCTTAGGGTCTGCCGATAAAGTCAATCCCTCAAGAGCTTGTTCCAGAGGGAAAACATGCGATACCAACTTCTTCGCATCTATCAAGCCCCCCTCAATACACGCAATACCTGCTGGCCAGCTGTCCTTGTATCTGTTGATGAATCGAAGCTGAATCTGTAGACTATCATTAGGGTCCCGCCTTAGCACCAAAAGTCTTTGATTACATACCTCAGCAAGAGACAAATGCATAAAAGGCAGATTGTTCATAATCGACCTGCCAACACCGACAACCATGAGAACACCTCCACGACGTGTCATATACGCAGCGGAGCATACACTGCTTTCGATACCGGTACACTCAAACACAACCCTCGGCTGAACATATTCTGTCTCACCGAACAGCTTCCTCACAGCCTTACCGTTCTCCTCGTTACTCTTGCTAATGTCAACTTGATACGTGATAGCGGTGGGAACGAACTCCTTGGCAAAAGCCAGTCGTTTGGGTTCGACATCCGTGATGACCAGGGGATGGGCTCCAGAAGCTCGCGCGGCGGCGAGGGCAAGAAGGCCAATAGGGCCAGCACCACAGATCACAGCAGGCGTTCCGAGAGTGATTGGGGCCGAGTTTATGCCATGGAGGACGACACTCAGGGGCTCAAGAAGGGCGCCCTCGGCGAAAGAGACACTATCGGGAAGTCTGAAAGCCATTAGTTCCTCAATCCCTTCATGCTTTGGAATTCCACTTCATCATACTTATGAAGCCATTTGGCGGGATGAACCTTGTATCGCTGCAGAGTTCCTGCATAAGGGTAGACCCCAGAGAACTGTACATCTTCACAGAGATTGTATCGGCCGTCTTTACACAGAAAGCAATGACCGCAAGGAACTCCAGGCTCCACAGCCACTCGGTCGCCTGTACATTCGTATAAGTAACAACACGTCATTCTCCTCATTTTTTGCTTACCAGGTTTGAGATTTGCAACATCCTCACCAACACGAATCACGACACCAGCGGCCTCATGTCCAATGATACAATCACCTTCAAATACAAGGGAACCTATACACCCAGTTTTCCAAAAATGAACATCAGAACTGTCCCCACAATCAGCAATCAAAATGTTTTGCCACTGGTAATTCCTCATCTCACCCGCAAATACCAGTGGCCTTGATGTGAAGAAGAACCTCGCCAGACTTGGGTGCATACACAGGCGCATCGACTCTTTTCAAGTTGTGATCTGCCGTGACCTGCAAGGATGGGTTCGGTAGGGGAGCCTTGAGAGTTTGAGTATCGCTAGGGTGACTGTTAAGCTTGACCTTGAGCTCATCAGCTATCGGTGTTGCATCATGGGTGAGGGGCTGTGAGGCTGCTAGCGAACACATGGTGATGGGAAGGAGAGAGAAGAAGGTTCAAGGAGAAGAAAGAACCAGGAAGGACTGTGAAATGGAGAGAGAGTGGCAGAGGTATCAAGTGAGAAAAGAATAGCAATCATTGTCTCATTTCATCAGTTTTCCTTGCATACAGCACTGACCGTGTAGCTGATGGTACTCTATTCTAGAGTATATTACAGGCTTCGAGGTTATCGTCTCCCCACTTCTCCACCCAAAGACTACCTAGGTAGTTAGCAGAGGGCTTAAAGTTGCCTATTTTGGACGTCAACAACCATTCAAACGTCCATTCGCCATGATACATAGGTTTCTATGAGGCTCCATTCATGCATATTCTGAAGCAACCCAAGGCGAGCCAAAACATAGGCTTCATGGCTGCTGAATATATGCCATCTGTGACCTAGTTATTGAAGGCATGCATACAGAAAGCTAACAAGTGAAAATCTATGCTCTCGGGATATGTCGAGCTGACAGCTGAAACCATGACCACTAGATACACCGTTCCTCAACCCTAAAAGCATATGTACATAAAAGACGAAGTCTACTCAAACACTCGGCGTTCTCAGTCTGGCTGCCACTCATGCATAAGATGCGCTGATAATGAGTTCACATTCCATCCTGTCAACGAGCTAATGCGATCAATTCCGCGCAGAATAGCATGCTGCTGGGGCTCATAGGTCATCCGCTTAGCAGCAAAATAAAAAGACGCCAACAAGCTAAAGTCCCAGTTGGACCGCGTGTCATTATTCAGGCTGATACCACAGATTCGCTGAGCATGCCACAGTGGTGAAAGGTAGATGTTTCGACCATGCTCCTTCGGGAGAGTACGTGGCCGATTCTGTAGAAGCAACAGCATCGACGTATGGTACAGCTGGTTTGCCAAGATCGCTGCCCCATTGGTAAAGAGCACCAGAGGGAAGAGTTGTTCGCCGTCCTCAGTCTCGAGCATGGGTTTGAAGTCCGTGGGACGGTTTGAGTACCACTTGTGAAGAGCTTCAGAAAATGCTTTCCATCTGTGGGCGGCCGGAAGGCTGATCGTGTCAGCGTCAGTCTGGGTATTGCCCCCGAAGCAATAATTCAGGACCTCGGCACACAAAAGAACGGGATCTCGCCCGTATCTGTGTCGTTCTCTACTCAGCGCGCCCATAGGTGAAGAAACTTCGCGGGAGACGATGGAAGGTATAGGGACTGAAGAGCAGTTCATAAGACCGACAGAAACACCTGAACTCGTCAGAAGTTGCCTTGAACTTTATGAGATGAGGAACGAACCCAGCCGTAGGATTATCCAAGACACAGCCAGTGCGACAGTAGGATGGTGTAACTGGAAAAGAGTTGAGTTGATTGTCTCATAGCCTGTACTCATAGACGGGCTTAACCAGGAGGTTGGTTGTGTGGCGAACTGCCGGCGGAGGGTGGTAAAGACGAAGACCAGGACGCGGCAAAGGATTTCGATGCTGGAAGTGCTTGTATCAGGTAATAAGGGCTGCTCATTTAGGTCGAGCTGGTTACGATGTCCAAGAGTTTCTAAAGAAATGGAGAGGACAGAATCAAGAACAGAAATAGAGTCCATAGCGACACGTGGAACAAATAAACCAAAGGTCTGGTCAGGATCGTTGATATCAAGCTGTGAGATATGTTAGATCGTTCCCAGAGACAACAGGGGACAAAAGCTTTACCCAAGGCGCAATATTGTATCTGTAGTGTCGTAGCAGCTCAACAGCGCGATCCTGTGGCATATGAAGACAATTGGGGAAGACATCTTCACGAGATTTATCTCTCACTTCGAGTTGCACACTCTGTGGAAGCTGCCCGAACAGTCCCCCATTGGTGGCAGTCTGAGATACCGTAGGTGCTGAAGGGGATACATAATGATCGTTACCTAGCGCGAGAAGTCCGTCGAGAGCAGTTTCATACGCTGCATTGGAGGGCGAAATAACAAGATTGAAGTCTACAGAGTCTTGTAGACTATGAGAAGGAGGTTGAGGAGATGTGACATAGGTTTCGATTCTGGGGCTGACTATGGCTGGTGACGGAGGCTGAGCAGGCTGTTCGGGTGGGTTTGTTTGTTGTGAGGGTTGATGTTGAGAAGTAATCTTCTGCGCTGCAATAGTTGTATCTGCCTCTATAGACGAACTCTCTGTCTTCTCAGCCTCACTCAAGGTGAATTCGTTATGATGTGCATGTGTACCAGATTTCGTTGCGGTTTCTGGTACAACAAACTAGCTCTTATGTTAGCAGACATGGATCGATTAGTTATAGTCCTTGATCAACATACCCTCAGCTTAGCATACGATTGTTTTGCGTTACGGGGACCCGAAGAGGTCTTGGCATTCTTTTGAAGAAACGACAACTTGGTGCCATATTGACACTCGAACCCTCCATCAACACAGCGTTGACACGAAGGTTTCCCTTCATCGCCTGAGGTAGAATTAGTAAGTGTCCATTCTGACATTTACCTAGATCATTGACTTACACTTCCGTCTCCGTACCCTGCACTTGAAACACCCCGTCCTCGTTCTCTTCAGGCGGGTCTTTGCCTCATTCTCAGCGTCTCTCATGGCAAACAAAGTGTTTATATGAAAAAGACTATAACTCCAAAGTGGGAAAGTTGAAGCCTCTACGTGGGGTGGGACCTGGGGAGATGGGGTATGACATGGGGTTTTGGGAGCCGACCTTGACGCGTTAGCTTCAGAAATATTGCCAAATGAGGAATAACTAAGCGTCGAGAAGCGACAGGGATTGTGCTACTGTTAATGACTTGGGACAATACTGAACCAGTTTTGATATTATCATGACAGATGTTTCGGGGTGTTGGTCAAGCGGATACTGGAGGCCAAAATGGATAAGAGAGCAGCTCAAGACGCTCTCTCTGAGTCTCATTCTCTCATTTTCTTATTTTCCAATTGCCAGTCATATCTTGAACTGTAATTGGACTACTAACATCTAACATAATGGCTCCCTCTACCGTCAAGCTCGCATCTGGCCATGAAATGCCCCTAGTAGGCTTTGGCCTCTGGGAAGTTCCCGCCGACCAAGCAGCTGAGACCGTCTACAATGCGAGAACCCATACTTCTTCACGATTCAACTGTATTAACAACCATGTAGGCCATCAAGTCCGGATACAGACTCTTCGACGGAGCATACGATTACCAAAACGAAAAGGAAGCGGGCCAAGGTATCCAGCGCGCTATCAAGGAGGGACTTGTGAAGCGTGAGGATATCTTTGTCACCACGAAGCTTTGGAACAACTACCACGCGAAAGAACATGCCCTCGCTTTTGCCCAGTCCCAGAATGAGGCATGGGGTCTTGGATATATCGATTTGTATCTCATCCACTTCCCGGTTGCCCTCGAGTATATCGAGCCTGAGAAACGACGCTATCCTGTACGTTTGATCTAGGTTCTTCTTGTGCATGCTGGTTAACATTCGTCTAGGCCTGGTGGATGGATGATCAGGGTGCTGTCAAGCCGGCTAACATCCCCATCCGCGAGACATGGGAGGCGCTCGAGGAAGTTGTCGACCGCGGTATCGCCAAGTCCATCGGCGTGTCGAACTTCCAAGCCCAGTCCCTCTATGATGTGCAGTGCTACTCGCGTCACCCTGTGTCCTCTCTGCAGATAGAGCACCACCCCTACCTTGTCCAGCCAGACCTCATTGCCATGGCTCAAGAGAACAATATCGCTGTCACAGCCTACTCCTCATTTGGACCCCAAAGCTTCAAGGAGCTTCTCGGCATCTTCTCTAAGAGAGCTCACGGTGCTGAGCCTCTTCTTGAGTCTAGTCTCATCAAGGGCATTGCTGGAAAATATGGCAAGACTCCTGCTCAGGTTCTGCTACGGTGGGCAACTCAGCGCGACATTGCTGTCATTCCCAAGTCAAACAACCCCAGCCGCTCGGCGCAGAATCTGGATGTTGTGAGTTTTGACCTTTCTCAAAAAGAAATCGAGAGCATCTCTGCCCTGGACCGCGGGTTAAGGTTCAACGATCCTGGCTTTTATCTTCCCAACTTTCCTCTCCGTATCTTTGCTTAAGCTAGGGACTGGGTGATATAATTAACCTATAGAATGGAATTAATGATCTGGATTTCAAACAGATGAGACCCATGACTTATTACTTACTGGTCGCCCCTTTCATTGACTGGTGATGGTAGCAACTTCAACCATTTTCGGTGATTTATTTCTACAGAGTGGAAGAGAGGAGACGGTAAAATCTCATCTAACCTTGTAACCCCATGCGTGCTCTAGGTCGGCTATGCGCCAATTAGTTGCCCACCCCGTCATTGCCTCTATGCTCAGGATCAACTTGGAAAGAAGCAAATGTTCTGACTTGTGACTAAGAAGTCTCCCTGCAATCCAAAGTGGCTGGATGGCATTATTGAGGCAGCCTTGATGGGGGTTGGTCAACGAAATGCCACATATACATTTAGCATGCCAGATGGAAGATCCTGTCGGTCCTACGTCGAGCTTGACCTCCCGAGGTTTCGATTCTAGCAACAACGTGCAGGCTGTGTGATAAAGCTGATTAGATGAGATCCCAGCCCAATGAACAAAGAGGATCTGAGGAAATGGCCGACTTTCAATGAATTGGACAGGAACCACTTCTGCCGGTCGACCCTCCAACCAAGATTGAAGATCGTGCCAGAGTAGTAGCCATCGTCTTTCAAAAGTTGCAGAATCGCAACCATTGTTTTCCCCAAGCTCGACATAGTGAGTGCGGTCAGCAACGAGCTCACAGACTTTAGAGCAGAGATACACTGAGTAATTGGCGTGCATATCTGGTGAGCGGTGGTCTCGAAAGATGTCAGCGGCGGAGTTTGGATCCGAGCCAGGAGGTAACCATTTGTCCAGTGGTACCAATGTGCCTTGAGTGCCATCTGAAATGAGCGCACCACATAGATCTAAAACAGAGTCAATACCGACACAGGTAGAAGAAGAAGAAGAACTTTGACGAGTAATACAAACCCATTCTCGCATAACACCAAAAGACAGCTTGAAGGAGGCCACCACTGAAACCGTTGACATCAAACGAATCGAAAAGAGCAGCACACCCTTCGAGGTGACGGCGCCAGTCTTGTGGACTTGTCGACATCATTTCTAGACAGCAGAGAATGACGCATATTGGGATTATAGTGAGGTCTCGAGCTTGAAGCAGGGGGTTAAGAAGACGAATAGCTTCCTGGTAGAGCTCTAGGCTGTCGAATGAATGCTGCCTGGCCTCTTTACGTTCCATCTGGCGAGCGGACAGGGCGAGCACTGCATAGAGAAGAGCTGGGCAACTACGAGCAAGAACTGGTACTTGAACAGTGAATGCTCCGTTATTATCAAACATATCGAGCTGTAGCGTGTCAGTAACCAAGTAAACACACGCATGTTGTAAGTACCCAGGGAGCTACTTGGGCGACATAGTTCTTGAGGTATTCAAGTCGTCGTCCGGAAGCAAGGGCCGTCTTTGTCTGAGCCTGAGCGGCCAACTCTTGGTCAGTTGGCCCATAGTTTCCAAGTGCAGGTGAAGCTTCGCGGGATGGTGCTGCAGTCTGAGCTGTGTTGAAGATGAGACATCGAAGTTCTTCCTGGTATGCGAGATATCCAGGATCTTGGACGAACTGATCCAGTGGCCAGCTATTTGAGGGCGACGAAGAATTGTCTGCCATGAAAGACGCCATTCTGATAAGTTCACAGGGCTTGACGTGTTAGAACAGGATACCGCAGTATGCAGAAACTTCTTCTGTTAGTGGTCAACGCTTTATTTGAAAGTGGTCGATGGTGAGAAGGCCGTTTGGCCTGTAATAGATTACATTTGTAGTAGTAACAAGGGAATCTTCTGGCGATCATTCAAGCTTGATGATTTCACAGGCGGAATTCTGATACTGAATGCGCTAGAGACCCCTCAGCTAAGCCGTAATGTCCTCTGGCTGTGCGGGGTCGGCAGCGCTGACCTTGGCTGGTACAATTACTGGGTGTATGTATACTTCGGTTATTTCGTCCATGCCGTTCAGTTTGAAAACGAAGCTATCACGATCACAGCACATTGAGATAACATGTCTTGTACCAATCTCTAGGTCTGAGTCATGGAAATTATATGGAGCTCGCTACATGCGACGATGACAATGCAACCAATAACGCAGACTCAGGGAGAACTTCAAGGACTCGGTACTAAGGTATTGTCAGATTAACCATACCTAGGTAGAGGTAGATAGCAACAGTCTGACGCTGGCTGCTACTTACTGTAGTGGTAAAGGTTAAAACGACACGATGAGAAATGGTCAAAATACTATTACTATGAGCCATATTGCAGAAAAATGATTGTCAATTCTACATACAGCTTGCTAACAAGCGCATTTTATCCACCCAATGTCTCATGTACCTTGCAGCTGCAACAAACCAATGATGAAACATGTCCACTCCGAGGGAGAACCAATGTTGAGATCTAGTCTATCGGAGTTAACTATCTGTTCATGGAAAATGTTCGAGCTGATCGTGATACTCGGCGGTGTATCTATGCATTATGCGTACTCGCTTTGGCTTCTGGTTCCAACTTTTGTAAAACGGTCAAAGCCATCTTGGCCATGAGCATGGTTTGGTGGTTTTGTTCAACTTGTGGCGCGAGATGGCAAATGATGGTACGTCACAGTTCCACGGAAAGGTCGTTCACGGGAGAGATCCGAGAATGACTTCTGCTAGGTTTGTTGTTTACAAACATTTGAGTTAATTATGTATGTATCATGTCACCGAGACCAACTCAATGACGATGGTAATTCACTATCGTACAGTACCTCGGAGAGGAGCCTACCCGTGAGCACAGACACAGACGTTGTGAGTTGAATGCAACCAAAACTCTCTCTTCTAAGCTTAGTCCGGCCACATGGCTTCGCAAGGGGTCAACCGTATTCCATTGCTTCTGATTCTCATCTGGAACGATGTTCCTCAGAATCCCTGTTCTTGCCCCCCTTTCGTGCCCACTCGAGTAATCCCGCCGAAGAGGAACGGCGCCGCGGCAGATGAAGATGCTCACGCGCATTTGGGGAAGCACAGTAGGTAGTATGTACCTAATAAGAGAAAAAGGGGCTTCCTTGTAAGGGTCCTTGGACTCGCCTCAACGCCCAGCCCGCTGGGACAGTCTTTTTGACAGCTCCAGAAGAGGGTTCGAGAAGAAAGAAGGCTGAAGCCCAAAGACTCATATGCACTCTCTTAGTAGGTAGGTACCTAGTAGGTGAAGGCTGCTACATACATCTTGTACCATGGATGATCAATTTGACTTTGTATCCGTCGAGTTTTAGAGTTTACTTACTGACTCGGGAGCGGCAAGGCTGGAACCTTTTGATTCTGTCTCCATGATTGACATTGTTTGAAGGCCTAACAAGGTTTGGTATATTGAATTACGTTCATTCAAGTTTAGGCCGGCGGGAATTAGCGCAAATCATCATTCATACATAGGTACCTAGCTAGCTAGGTAGGTAGGTACCTTATGTATGGAGCGATGATGGGACATTCTCCGGTTGGCGTTTTTAGGCAGAGCAAGGATTGATTGATTTACAACTGCAGTGGCAGGCAGACATTGCAGATGCATCCATATTATTGAACGTTTTGCAGCATCATGCCCTGCTGGTTTGCTTTAGTAGATTCATTTTCAGGTGGTTGTGGTGATGATATCCACTGACACCCAAATACCTACTAATGTACCTGGCATTCAATCCATACGTGGATGTGCTTCTACAATTTCCATTCATCACCTGCACCGGTACCACGCAAACATACGGGCACTCACTTGAACGGCGGCTAAGAAAGGTTAAAACACGTTCGTCTATTGGGCTTTGGGTTCTATCCAGGACACTGTGTAACCTTGGACGGATACGTTCACGTACATATCCCCGTTCCTCTAAACGTTTCATCAACATTCCTCAGTCTTTCAATTGCTCTCATTTTAGTCCGTACCAGGTACTTCCTGGCGTTCATGAGTTCAACCGCTATTAATTAACACCCCGTCTTCCCCCCTGCATCAAAGACCCTTGTCGCCCCTCTTTACAGGCACTTCTCCCCCGGGGTTGGCTAGCTGGCACCCAAAAAGAACAAATTTGCAGCGAATAAGACCCTAGATCTATCGCCGAAGCTCGACTGGGATGATTGTTTTGATGGTCAAGACGCAGGTACATATTGTACATTTATACATACATTCGGTACCTACCAACTTTTGTACCGTGAGACTGGTTGGTGCTGCTAGATTGAAATTCCTCGCGGCGCCGTCGAGAGTCGAAATACTTAGCATCAGCCAACTTTGCACGTCACAATTCCTGGGTCCATCAAAGCCAACCGCCAACTGGCCCAATCGTTCGCGCGTGGCTTTTTTTTTGTGACCCATGCGGAAGCCGGCTTCTCTTGCTAACTCAACTAGCCTACCTCTACTCAGATTGACCTGGGTTGGTTTGGAGAGAGGAGATTTAGCTCTGCAGGTTGCAGGTGAGAGTACGAGCCAAGGGAGCTGAGCTGAGCAGAGCAGCCAGACAAAAAAGCCCTTTTTTCTACCCGGCCCCCATCGAGTCAAGATGCCGTCGAACTCAACTTCATCCTCCACCGACAATGCTCGTCGCAAGACTCGACGTCGGCCTCATACCGACCTGAACATCAACACAAACACTTCATCCCTTGCCTCGCCGTTGTCGAGGGAAAGGGACGCCATTCCGCACCCACGGACGCCGCCTCCCCAGGATTCAGAATACCGCGTGTCCCAGTCTAAGTCCAAGTCTAAGTCAAGGTCACTAGCCAATACGAATTCCGACAACAACGGCAGCAGCAACAACAACAATCGGGCGCCTACCAGGTTACCCGCCTCCAATACTCACGCGCATGAGTCCTTTCTAGAGAATCCCACTCCCGTCGAGGACGATATGGCCGACCGTTTACCTCCATCATCCACCCAGCGCGACTCCCACGATCTTTCCTTATCTCCTCGCAACGTCACCCGAGACTCCCTCGTGGCTAATATGCTCATGTCTCTCGACCAATTCTCCATGGCACAGTTGAGCGATAAGTACGGCCCATCATCCACACCCGCATCCCGTACACATACCTTTGACGAAACTTCGCCCCAGTTTGGCGCCGCCGAGCAGACTAGAAGTTGGGTAGCCTCGAATTCTGTCGCAGGTCCCCCTCGATCCAACGGACACCAATACTCTTATAGTTCGGATCTTGAAGGAGCAGACGATTCTAGCCGTATATCGAGTCGCGGCCGACGGAGCAATAGTAGCTCCAATTTCCAATCAAGTTTCCCGCGCCTCAATAGTGTTCGCGAAGGCCACAGAGCAGGCTCATCGAGAGCCATGCATTCGAGAGGGGGCAAACCGGGCAGCAAGAGCAGTAGCACAGCTAGTGTTGACGCTGGTTATGTTCAGGTGCTTGGAAGTCAACGATATGGACGCGGGTTTGGAAGATCTGCAAGTTTTGACTATGGACCTCAACAGCAAGCAGCACAGGCTCCAGTTGTTGAACCGTCTCCCTTTCGAGTCGAATTCCCGAATAGTTACATCGACGACGAATACGATGCAGCCCCAACCCCTACCGTCCCGGGTGGCCCACGACGGGAGCCGTCGATCCCTGCGATGTCGGCAATGCCCTCGTCTATCCCACCACCAATGCCACCTCCACCTCTCGAGCCCCCGACACTCGATCATAAACGCAGCAGTCGCTCTCTGAAGAGCGTGTCGGGACGCAAGCCTGCCACTTCTCGGGAGCCTACACCTGCTGTGCCAGCCCTGGACCTTGATTCGGCGCCTGCACCCAATGTTGGCTATGGTAAATCAAAGGACCCGACCGTGCACAGCGGCCCAACGCCTGCAACACATGCGCCTGCACCCGTCAAGGAGCGTCCAGGCTTTTTCAGGAGAGTGTTTGGATCGTCCCGCAACAACTCACATAACAACGAAACGACAAATCCTCCGGCACCACAATCGAATCCCTCTGCCGACAAGATGGCTGGTAGTGCATCGGCACCACCATCTCGCGACACATCGTCATCACATTCTCATCACCCCGTGCTACAAAAGAAACCATCCTCGTTCTTCCGTCGGCGGAAGAAGTCTGTTACTGAAGATACTCCTCCTCTGCCCCCAATGCCTGCAGCTCCCGTCCCTACAGCTGCGCCTAACCTGGCTCCTCAGGATAGAGATGGTAACTATCCACCACAGCCAAGTCCCGTCAGCAGTTTACGCAAGGTTATGAACCCGTATCTCAGGTCTGGTCAGAGTGCTCCGGGAACTTCTGCTTCTCAAGGACCGTCTCCACTGGCCGATATTTCCAACATGACACCGGAACGAGACGACAGGGCTGCAGAAAGAGAAGGATATCAGCGAGAGTTCTCGCCTGACTATTCCCCAAGCCCCAATGCTAGGATCAGAACGGTTCGTTCAGAGTCTGATGAGCAGCTCAACAAGCGAAATAACAACAGTACACCCTCCCGCCCTCCACCTGAAAGACCTACCAAAGCGATCGAGTCGCGAAATAACTCATTCCTCAACCTTGATGGGGCTAGTGATAACGAGGATGAACGTGGACTTTCGAACCGAAAGCCTGCTAGCGTATCACAAACTCAATCCAAGCAGCCCGGTAACACTCCAGCAAGAGATATTCCTCGAACTGGAAAAGACCAAATTGGGTCTAGGAAGCCTTCCCATCGCCCAGAGCAGTCCGATTCTGAGGATGAGCCAGATCGCTCCAACCTGGCACTGCCGATCGAAGGAGCTCGAGCCTCTAGTCCAGGATCAGCTTCAACTGGTACAGATTACAAGTCTGCTCTCAGTGCTCCTCCTAGCGTGAGGATCGAAAGCTCGGCAGACCCTAGTCCCAAAGTACTTGGCACTTTCGATTCGATTAAAATCAAGGGTATTGATGAGCCCGAGTTCGTCATCGGGGACCCTACCGAGGATGATCGTCAGAAGGCACAAAAGATTTACGACGGTAATGAGGACTTCATCCAGAAGGAGAAGGCTGCCTCGTGGATGGGTGAAGAGGGCCCGATCAGACAACGTACACTTCAAGCTTACATGGAGTTGTACGACTTTTCTAACCAGAGCATTGTTCAAGCACTGAGACAAGTTTGCGGACGATTGGTTTTTCGGGCCGAGACTCAGCAAGTTGATCGCATCCTGGTGGCCTTTTCTAAAAGATGGTGTGACTGCAATCCCAACCATGGGTTCAAGGCAACTGGTACGTACAAAAGCTGCCCGATGATTTTCTAAACTGACTGTGATAGATGTGATTCATACCATTTGCTACTCAATTATGCTGCTCAATACTGACCTGCACTTGGCCGATATTGAGTCGAAAATGACCCGCAGTCAGTTTATCAAGAATACCATGACAACCATCTTGCAGGCTGTCGATGAATCCGCCCCTGATGCTTTCCACCGCCCAAGCATTCTTCCAGACAAGAATGGCCTTGCGGCTGGTGAGAACCAAGACCCGCCTTCTGAGCATGACCGACGTTCTTTCAGAAACTCCTTCAGACCCCCGGCTCGTGCGGACTCAGGTACTCTACCTGGCGAGGGCATTGAAGACTGCGGCCCCTTGGTCAAGTCCCGTTTTAATGGTACGAGAAAAGCCTGGGAGGAACAGATAGAGACTGTCCTCAAGGGAATCTATACTTCTATTAGAGATGAAAGGCTGCCCTTGTTTGGCGCTGAATCTGAGAAGAACGCCAGCCTACAGCCTTCCCACAGTGGAGGACTCTCTGTAATGGGGATGCTAAAGAGAACTCCCAGTGTCCTTAGTAAGGCTCCCTCGGAGAGCCAGCTATCTGTTCGCGGCCGAATCAATGACAACGGTCGAGCCAACACAGCAAGGTGGACATCCAAGAGCCGATCTCGCGCTGGCATGAGTCGCAATGGCTTTTCTTCGAGCCGTACAAGTTTCGACGATGGCAATTCACTGTGGAGTCCTACACCGTCCTCTGCCACATGGAGCCGCCACTCTCTTGGGAGGACCCAAGCATCTGTTTCGCAAGACTCCTTTGGCTCTCACCTCCCTCGAGGGGACTACCAGCAATCGATCGGTTTTGCAAATGCACTGAGCCAAGCCATCATTCGAGATGAAGAGATGTACGGGGACGGGGCCCCATCCATCATGAGTTCAGAGATTCCGGCTACTCAACTCCTTGAAGACGAGTCTCTTGAACTTGCTGGACCCCCTTGGGTCAAGGAAGGAATGGTTACCCACAAGCACCACTTGGATGGTGTGGATAAGAAGGCTAAGGCCAGAAATTGGTCCGAAGTCTTTGCTGTCATTCAGAAGGGACAGCTGAATCTGTTCTCATTCCAGCCTAACAAATCTGTCCGTTCGAGAAACCGCGGCAGAAACGCTGGCGGTGCCCCTGCTATTGTCGGTGGTGGCAATTGGCAAGATAACGCAACGAATCTGGGATGCTATAACCTACGACAGACTCTTGCATCTGCCCTTCCACCGCCAGGTTACTCTCGGGCCCGCCCACATGTATGGGCGCTGAGCCTTCCCAACGGCGCTGTGCACCTATTCCAAGTGGGCACACCCGAGATCTGCAAGGAATTTGTCACTACAGCCAACTACTGGAGTGCTCGTTTGAGTACCCATCCATTGACTGGTGGTATAAGTAACATCGAGTACGGATGGAGTGAGGCCATTGTCAACAACGCTTTGGTATCAGCTATCAACGAGACTACGACTGGCAAGACATCGCGACCCGGAAGCAGCGCAGCACATGGTCGGAGGTCAAGTGTTAACAGTGGTAGTTTCCGAGGATCAAGCTTTGATCACGTCGCAGGTGCTTTCACGAACAATAGTGGACGTGGTAAGCTGCCAGGCGATCGGATTCACATTGCCGAATGGGCACCACCCACCCAGAGCATGCGGCCCAGCAACCAGCCTGAAGCAGAGCAGCTCCAGACTCTGGACACGTATGTCAAAGGGATCGAGGCAGAACTACAGACACACAACCGACTCCGCAGCCCCATGCTTCTGGCTTTCACGCCTAGAGGTAGCAACGCTGTGAAGGCCATGGCTAACTGGGAGCGCAAGAGCGCATATCTGCTGCGCGAAATCGTCAAGTTCACGACATACGTCGACTGTCTTAGACAAGCTGATTCGAGGAAGCAAGAAATCTACCACGAGAGGGACTTGGCGCAAAGAGCTGCGCGAGGTGAACTCAGTGAAGGCGATATGGACGTCAGCAGCGACGACGAAGGGGATGTAACATTGAGACCTTGAAACGGTCTATGTACGAACAAGCATACATGCATACAGACGCATCAGTCTTTTGACGTTTGCTGCATATTTGGAGTTGGCATTGACATTTTTATTTTGCTACTTTTTCTTTTCTCGCTCACGGGCAATCAGAAAGCCCTGATACCCCCCCCCCCAGATGTTGTTGCGGTTCACGAATAATTCAGCGGTGTATACAAAAAAGAGAGCGTTGGGCTGACGGTGGAGAAGACGGGGCGTTATTAATGCCTTGGTATTTGGATGCGTATAAAATTAATACTCTTCTTTGTAATGATATTGGGACGATATATGAATATATCACTGAATATGAAGATTAGATGTTTTGACAATATCTTTGCGCAGTCCACGCGAAGCCCATCTTGGCTTGATCTTTGGACTCTACTGTAGGATTTAAAGTAGCAGAATATCGCAGTTTGTGTTTATATAACGTTGCCAGTCCGTGGGTTCTTGGAGGCACCTGATTCAATATGTACAATACTCCCGATGAACCACTTCCCAAACCATATTGACTTAACAGTAGTCAAGCATGGAACCGAGAGCGGTCTTCTCGGCGCTGGTGATAGTCAACTGCCAGTAGCTCTTGACCTGGATCCAGCTCTTGGCGTAGGTGCAGTAGAAGCTGGTCAGAGGAGGCTTCCAAGAATCAGGGGACTTGTCGCTCTTTGCCTGGTTGACATTGTCGGTAACTTTGATGATGATGATGATGTTAGCTTGTTGTTCTTGATGCGTAAAGCATTGGGTTTGGGTTGACTTGCCTGCCCACAGCTGGGGTCGTGTAACATCATTGGCGAACTGGGTACGCTTGGCGGTAGTCCACGAAGCGGCTCCAGACTAAGAAGTGTTAGCTGGTGTCTCTCCAGACGTGAAGGGTCAGATATTGGCGAGGGGGCTTACAATCCAAGCATTCTTCAGCGGAACCATGTGATCAATGTCGATGTCGCTGGCCTGTGTCCAGGTGGCGCCGTCATAGGGAGACTTCCAAGTGCCTGAAGTAGCCGCGCAAGCCGAGTTGGTGACAACGGATGTTCCGTCTCTTTTCAAGACGTACTCACTAACAGGCTTATTAGTATCTGGACGTATGTCTCTTGATATGGGTGTAATCACCGAGTGTTGCAGGCACCCTCATAGGTCTCCCAGTGAGGGAAGAGGTCTCGGTCATAGGTGTCTGTGTTGGTGGAAGCGGCGACAGTGAGACCGCTCAGAAGTGAGCGAGCAGTGGAATCACTGGGAATGCCGGGCTAGATATGTCAGAGATAGTATCATGACAAGTGTAGTGAAGAATGTCATACAGGTGTAGGTGCGGCGAGGACGCCAGCAACAGGAACGAGAAGAGCGAGAGAGACCTTCATCTTGAGATGCCGGATTTGAGGAGGACAGAAGAGTTGGAGAGGGATGAAGAGAGAGGTGAAGAGCATTGCATACCTTTGTCGCTACACAAGTGTCTTTATATCACTCAAGCCAAGAGACCATCTCGGCATTCCTCCTAATCGCATCACCATCTCCATGCAAGACCGACAAGCATATACAGAAAACCACATAATTCATGCTCCTTCCTTATTGGACATACATCCGGTGCACAATAAGCTCTCCTCTGTCTAGACATCCTCACCGAGGCACGTATATGGGTTTCAAGTCCGTAGATCTCTCAGGCACGAGGCTTCGTGATAGGCGAGCAGATGACTATCGGGATATCGAGCGTCTAATTCAGTGCCGCGTTATAAAGTGCAGGGTCCAGTCAAAGGCTGAGACGCTGCCACGCTGATAAGGTAGTGCCGGTGATCGACATGGGGTGTTTCTGGATAGAGAATAAGAGTGTGGGGATGGGAGGATGGGTAACCTGCCTTTTGGGGAAGTGTGCGTCCGAGAACTGGCAGGGGGGTTATTTGCTGTGTAGATAGGTCTTCGTGGGGTTTTTGTTTGTGGTGTTTGTGGTGTCAAATGTTGTTTATACTGAGATAGAATGCAAGGATGGGAGAGGGAAGAAGAGGGAGAAGTAAAGCAGCCAGATGAACAAGAATGTGTAACACGGGCAGAGAAGAAAGAAACAATGCATCTACATCTGCCTCACTTTTAGATTTTGATCTTCACCCCGAGGCTGTTATCTTTAGAGGACTTGCTGTTCTAGGCAATGTGTCTCATGACTTGTGTACTGCTTCGACTAGACTCAGATAAGATGCGTAGATCTTTCCATGATGATGCTTGATTAGGAAGTCCGATATCGTAGTGCTCGAAATATGAACTTGTTGGTCACCTACCTACTTATCTGTCGCCATAGTCTAGTTCTCATCCAAGACATCGAGAGGCTGGCTAGATGGGTCAAGGTTGAATACTAGATCACTACAGCCAGAAACAAGCACTCATTGGTGGGTTTTCTTCTATTTTCTTCTCTAGTGAGCAATTGCCGTACATGTCCCCCGGTTACAATTATCATACAACCAAATCTTTGCATTGCGATATCGTGTCGGAATGCTGCACCGCATTTGCCAATTCCTTCTCGGCCTCTTCCCCGTTTTGTCTGATTATCGCCGTCTCAGGTATCTCTAAGATGCTTTGTATGCCGATATCTTGCGCCCCCAAAAAAGAAAAGAAAACCAAAATCACATGCCTTGCACAGAGCTTCTTTTCGGTAGAAATGGAGGCAAGGGTTCTCAAATGTGTCTCCCGGGAGGTTTCCGGAGGTTATCTGTCTGAAGCGCCAATACTGCACCAGGAAGCAGTCTACCAAGATCCGGCTCTCATCTTTGGCTTCTCGATTTGACCAGTGTCATAGGTTGATTCTAGGGGTGCCCTTGGAAGAAGAGATGATGTGAAGGAAGCGAGTGTAGATGGGGCACATGATCTCGCTGATCGATGCCATTGTACCCCGCAGCTGTACCATCAATTTCAGCCTGGTGAAGACTACCACCGAGTCTGTCGACCTGCTTCTTGAATCTGGTGCATCCTTCGGCGGCTTGGACAATGTACTTGATAGAGTGGGCGTACTTGCGCGGTCTATATCGGGGGTTGATGTCCAGGTTGAGCTTGGCTCCGTGGCGGATCATTTTGTTGAACAAAGCTTCCATGGCAGCATTACCCCCGTGTGCCACGATGGCTTTGGCCATAAATGCCAGTGCAGTGTTGCCGCACGCGTCGGGGATATTGAGAGTGTTTTGGTGAACTGTAGGGTCATAGTTCCGGTGAAACTTCATATCCATTTCACCCTTCAGGCATTTTTCAAGTAAATACTTGATCACGTGTTGTCTGCCGCTCCAATCTATAAGGGCAGATTGAGCCAAGATCAGGACTGGTGACTCGTATGGCCAGTAAGTTCGGACCATGCGGTGGTGAAACCCGTGGTTGTCCATGAGATCGTCCGCCATTCTTTTACATACAGTTCTCAGAGTCCCGTTGTTTGCTGATTCCAATGCAAGCCGAAACACACAGTGGAGTGGGTTGTTACCAAGGGAATCGACCATATAAGGTCCAAACCCGATGCCAGACTCCAGGAGGTATCTCAAGGCCTTGAGGTTGAAAGCCTGGATAGCAAAATGGAGAACGGAGTACCTCTCCAGTCCTCCAGGGGTCTCATTAAGTGAAGGGTGCGTCTTCACCGCGTGCCTCAACAGCTTGACAGAGTATTGCTGATCTGTCAAAGATGCCGCCAAGTGGTGGACGGTCATCGACCAGAAGGGAGGGTCTGGAGGTGCCACGCCGTGAGATGCAAAAGCAACAGCCAAGTTGAAAGTTCCGACGTAAGCCGCATCCCAGAATTCGTCTAGGAGATCAAAGGTTTCAACATCTTGCTGTATAAGAGGCGCCAGTGCAGGGTTCCACCGGAGTCTGTAGAGGTGATTGGAAAGCGCGGTCTCCTTGTCCAACAGATCTCTGAATTTCTGTGGCAAGACTAGATGAAAACTCTTGACCTCCTGATACTTAGCACCCAGGTCCCGTAGCTTTCGGATCACACGGTGCTGCTGCCGAGCTGCAGCGATATGAAGCAGAGTAAAGGTGGCTCTGGCATTCGCAGTACTTCGCTTGTATATCTTGTTGATATTGGGGCGTAGGAGCACGACAGGGTACTTGGAAAGAATGCGGTAGCCTAGTTGGTCAGAGCAGTTGAAGACAGCGTGTTGGAGGCCTTTGTGGCAGTCATCCTCTAGGTCTTGAGCGTAGAGGTAGGCCTGAAGTGAGATAAACAGGGATTTGTTCGTAAGGATCAGATTCCCAAGGCTGCCCAGATTCTGGTATCCAGGATCTTGCTCGGTGCGTTCTCCGAGCTCCTCGACGATGAGGAGCAAGAGTTCTGCGATTCTGAACGTCTTGACTGCTGGAGTATTGACCAAGCCTTGGGAGGGACCAGGGCGACGGACCAAAGGGGGCGGCATCTTGAATCTTGTGGTAAAAGAACAGCTGATGGGAGTTATTGGGATGAATATTGAGCCCAATATCGTGAGAAGAAAGGGGATGGGTTGATGAGTGAGAGTTGAGCAGGGAGAAATGGAGATGCCCTCAGCGGCGGGTGTTTATGTGTATGGGAAAATCAGATAACAGTACGCGACTGCGATGGAAGGAATTGAATGAGAACTTCCAAAGAAGTTAACACCCCAAAGATATGAAGTATAGAGTTGAGGTGGTGGTAACTCGCCTATGCTGGCGTTCCCGATGTTTGGTGGTGGAGGAGAAAAGAAGAGCGGAGGGTGGGAGACGAAGGTATGCATCCCAACGCAGCAGAATTAGGCTACTACTGCAGCACTCAAAGCATATTATACCACCTGAGCTCCTCTAGAAGGTTCCTCCTGATTTCGATTAATAGCACTAGCCCAAAGGCCAACCGCACTAAAGAATTATGATCACTCTCTAGGACTCCTTGTGCCGTGGATTTGTTGCATGATCACTGCTGAGACTTTTTTATTGGAGAACATAGTAGTAGAGATTGTATATGGCCATTGTGCACAAGTGATAATCGGTTCATAGCAGTGCCATGCGGAACATGGTGGCCTAGTTCCCAATATCGTTGTGCTCGAGGGCTACCCAGCCCGGCCAGTTACTCCACCAAATCTTCTTTCCAGGCTTATGGACTGCCAATATAGCTTGGAAGGGCATATTATAAGCCCCGATATTGCTTTGAGTATTTGTGTATGCGCATTGTGGAGAAAATGGGCAGTGACGCATCTATCTCGAATCGTTCGAAATCCCATCACTGGCGAGTGGGGATTAGCTTAGCAACAGCCAGTGCCATGAAGATACTGTAAACAATGTTTCTCTATAGCCTAGAGGATATTGTATGGTATATTGTGAATGTTGCTCTTCCGAATCGTAAAATGAGCCAGGGTCAGGGGATTTCGAGTTGTTCTCGCTCCATCAAGAAGTGACATCTAGGCACCATTGGAGTTTTCATCAAGCAACAATTACCGATTATATCTTATTTGACCGTCAAAAAATCAAGCTGCATTTGCCATGGTGTCACATTATTGTATTTTACATTTGTGATGTTATCGTGTTCCAAGTCTGAAAAGGTCCTTGCTCATCTCATTCGAGTGTCCCGGCATCGAAGCCATGCCTTATTAAGAACCATTTCACGCTTATTCAGAAAGGTTACAGACGGAGAACGTTTGTTAAAGCTGTCAAAGCACAAATGTCGCATACCACTAAGATAAGGTCAAGAAGGCGAAGGCGAGAACCCCTGATCTATGTGAACTGACGATTTACACTTCTCCGTGATAGATTCATGACAGGAAAAGCCAGTGGTACGCTGAAAACGTATTGAGGGATATAAATCGAACTGGAATAACGATAACTTTAAGATTCTGGGACGTAGATATGACAATGGGACAGGGGCGGTCTTGTTTTTGAGCCATGAACTATGTATGAGTAGTGGATAAGCGTCGAGCGAGATTATCTAGCGTTGCTGGCATAGATGCCGCACTGGAAACGGTAGCAACAGGAGGGTCGTTCCAGAGGAGGTCGAGATTGGTACGATGATGGTCGGCATGAATCTGCAAATACGGAGTGTTAGCTGATGAAATCAGTGAAGCCTCAGAAGATCCACGATTTCAAAGGTGAGTCCAGCTCACCTTCTTGGATTCTACTAAGCTGTGAGGTGTACAGCAAGGCTATGAGTCGTCCATCTTGTGGTGCGAATGGGGTTCCTAGACCTGAGTAAGGACACACTGCTATGAACCCAATTTCCTCCACTTCATATAGTCCAACACAAATGAGTTGGATCAGTCGAAGAGTAAACAGTCGCGACTGGACCTTGAGTTACGAGAGAGAGGCAGGAGTTTGTAGAGGTAGGAATGGTCGATCACCTTTGTCGAGGAAGAGGAAAGAAGTGAGACAAGATCGAGAGCTCAAAAAGGTGAAAGCAGCACAAACTTCCTTAATGAACGGGGTCGCGACATGGTCAGCGAGACGAACGGTCTTGTTCCTAAGTACCTGAGCCAGGGTGAAGATGATGGCGGGTAAAAAAGTGGGAGGGTAAGGATTGGGCTAGTAGATTTATCATACAATACCGACAGCCAGTACCTGGGTACCTACCTCAGTACCTAAGGTACCTTAGGTAGTGATGCCAGGTCCCCTCGACGTAAGGTATTTGCAGCGCAAGCCCTGATATGCAATGCTCTCTCGAACGTCGTCAATAGGTACTAGGCTAGTGAGCACACGAACAATTTAGAGTTGACAGGTCCACCCTCCCCGAACTGACTATGCCGTTCTTTGTCCTAGAGCAGATCTCGAACATGGGGGGACCCTGTAGTGTCGATCTTGACAGGGATGACAGTGGATGTCGACTCGGCCGAGTCTTGAGGTGACTCTTGTGTTCATGCATGAACATTTAAGAACATATTCCATCTTTGGTGATGGATTTGTTCCTCTGGTGGGCTATTCTGCCCCTGGGAGGACAGAAGTACTCGATTGAAACATTGATTCTGGCCTGTCTGTATCACAAATGAACAGTTGCTCAGTCTAGAAATGCTGCTCTATATTATCTCAGTGCTGTGTACTCAGTAGAGTGCTGCAGCACCTGCTTGTGGTGACATCGTTGCCCAGGCACCAGCAGTATTTTTCTTGTTCTTCCTTACTTTTACCCAGGTATGAGGTGTTCGCCCGCAAGCTCCCGAAGACGCTAGCCCTGCAAAGTGCATCCCCATGTTTCTACCAAAATCCCCAAGTACCTTTGCACTCACCTAGAACTCCTAAGTTTTGGATTCCATTCATTTTCTCACTCTTGCATCGCCACTTATAAGCTCTGGTCTTCGTTGCCGTCCTACACTTACACAATATGAAGCGCGCACCTTTACGCTTGACGAGCCACAATGCCACACTACAGTTTCCCGGCTCTGTATGGTACATTTCAGGCTATAATCAATGGCGATCTGTTTCTTTCAGCTACCATTAACTCACTTGGTAGCGTCTCATGTTCGGCAGTCTTTCCATCCCCATGTCCAGGTTCTGCGTCCACCAGATACACCACTTCCAACAACCCAATCTTCTGAGAGCCCATGACAAGAAGCTCTGATCCATAGGCCGACTATATATGCAGCGAGGGAAAGCTGGTCTACAGTTGATGACCTGAAGCTGGGGAGCCGTAGTGCAAGTCTCTTTACCCGCCCCGGCAATCAGTCGTGGGTGGGCGCGCACATGAAACAATGGCCAACAAGCAGGGTCCAAAAAGCATGGTAATGCTGAGACTCTGTGAATCATTCTTGTGATACTATCCTATTTCTTATTAACAACCCGCCCAGCTTGCAATGGAGATGCTAACTCCCTTGTTCTAGCCCCTATCTTTATACATCTTGTATACCAGTCCTCCCAGCCTCAATAGCAAAGAAGAAGACTCAATACGTGCCACCAGATATAACGGCCAACATCCATAGGTAAGGCTGCATATAAGTGCCGTCAGCGATCGAATGCAAATACCGTATTCCACAACAGCCGTGAAGTAGAACGGCGTGCTCAGGGTACACAAGACTGAGCTGCGACTGGATCCGTGTGCTTCAATTAACATTGACATACAAATGACAGGATAAACTTCCTATATACCACAAGTTGAGAAATGGACGCTGATGTCAATACGATGATGGTTTCTGACAATCGAGGGGCGTGAGCAAGAGAAACCCCATATGCTAGTCAAAGAGCCATATGAAGCTGAACCGTGAACACATTTTTGACATTTCTGGACTTCCTTGGCTGTGCGGTAAGCATGTTGTGTGAGAGTTCCCTGACTGGCAACTGGTTGGGACACTGGATCGTGTTTCGTCATATGCTATGTCACACGAACTGAAATTCCTAGTAATTCTGAAATGAGAATCGGTGTCGCCACTTTCAGCCGGCCTATTGGTGTGAAATGCTCAAGTGAACTCGAGCGTAAAAGGATGGCCAGTCCTCCATGGGCTATTTCTGGTTGAAATCACTATAACGAGTCATAGACCATGCTCTCCCATCTCAAGCTGAGTAAAAAATGGAAGTCTTGGGCGCAGAACAACTCAAATCGAATGTCTGACCCTTCAAATCAATCCACCAAGACGACACAATCACAAAGTACTTCGACAGCTTAGGGGGTTGTCAAGTGTTGCTTAGGTATAGGCGATACATCCCATGTCACGTCTGAGTTTTCCTCGGTTCGGGCAGAAATTACAAAGTATAAGATACAAAACCAGGGTTTCAACATCATTGCTGTTGAAGCAGACTGGCCTGATGCCGAGTCTGTTGATCGGTATGTCAGGCAACACCCAGGCTCTAGTCGGGCCACAGTAGAGACGACTCAGATGAGAAAGAAAATCGGAAAAGAGCCAGCGTTCTTAAGATTTCCTACTTTGATGTGGCGAAACATTGAAGTCAGCGACTTTTGTTTGTCAGCCATATACTATAGGAAGACCTTGTCATAGTAAGGGGTTCCCCAAGCGTTTGGCTTGGTCTAACAACTTTGTGGCGATGGATGCGCTCTGATAACTCTGACCTTAAAGAAGAAGAGGTAGTGGGATTTTACGGCCTGTATCTCTACTTGATGGGCATTTCGATGAAGGGAGTGGTTGACTATCTGGATACTGTTGACAAGGACATGGCATAAGTCGCAAAGGGGCGATATAGTAAACTGATGCACTGGTAAATGATCCTTACGAATATGGCCTAGAGTCTCCGGCAACTTCTTTTCAGGGGAATGAGGAAGACGTTATCGCGATGCTCAAGGATATCTAAGTACACGCACTGAATACTTTACAGCACTTGAAGAGGGCATGATGTGCAAAGTGAAGAGCAGAATACCAGAGTTGTTAAAGATAGGCAAGCTAGACCCTGAAAAGAACCCGTTGGAGGAAGACTGAAGGATATCCAGATGCCGAACAATACTATCAAGTCATGTATGGCGGGTGAGACGAAACATGGCATCTCCGAGACACCTATATGTTCGAAACTCTTACGAGACTTTTGGAACATCGCGGTCGTGATTACAAACCCATTGTCTGGTCACATAACAGCCACGTCGGTGATGCCCGGGCCACCAGCATTGGATGGTCAAAAGAGGAAATCAACATCGGGGATCTCTGCAAGAAAAGATTTGGAGCCCAGGCTCTCAGTACTGGCACAGGCACAAATACAGGCACAGTGGCTGCAGCCCAGGACTGGGACGGTAACATGAACATTATGGAGCTTCAGGCACGGCTCCCGGGCAGCTATGAGGAGTTCATGCATGCTGCGGGCATTGATCTCTTTGTTCTTGATCTCCGTAAAGGCAGATGCGGTAAAAGGCTACGAGAAATTCTGAACGAGAAAAGGCTGGAAGGGTTTATTAGTCTGCTGTACATTGACAAGTCGAAACACGTTGGGACGTTGGTGGTTCCAGCCCAAGGCACCTCGGGAGTACCATGAAATATGGCCGTTTGGATTATAAGCTTTTGCTGATATACGCAGTACTTCAAGTCAGTCTGATGGTTCCTTACTTCACCAAGTGCTCCATCTTGGGGGCCCGCGATTCTATGATATGGGCAATGCGATATGTCATGACTCAAGCGTGATGAGCAGTCCACGGGTCTCACATAGTTGAATGGCACAGTTACGCTTGGTCAGTAGCCTTACCTCTTGGTTTGCCTCTGGTAATATGCTCTCTAGACCATAAGCCTGGCTGCACTGTTGTCACAGCAAACTTGTATATCTTAACAGACTGTGTCAGAGAAGCGGTTCAAACTGGTTCAAATACGCATCGAGGAATCTCACCATTTGGTCCATATAATATTGGTCTTGACGAATTGTATCGTATCGTAGCCTCATTATCGATCGACTCGGAAGCCAGATATCCCTATCTTCCTCCAGTCATCATAAACGTATTAGCACCTCAAAAGCAAATCCAAATCCAGTCCGCGCCCATATCTCAAACCCTGATGGCCATTTCCAGGACTAGTACCTATGTCGGGTAGAATAATCCTTGGGACTGACGACCAAACCACGGCCCTTCTTGGCACCTCGATACACCGTTTCGAAAATGTCAATGAGCTCTTGCTTATCCTCGAGAACCCACTTGATCTTGTTGTTGTCACCGGTTCCCAGATCAATCATCATGTGCTTGTTTCGGAAGAAAAACATGAGGGAGCACGGGTCATACAGCTCGTACATTTGGTTGAAGTCGGGAACCTGGTCGATATCGCAAAGATAAATCACGGCGAAGTTGCGCACTTTGTCGGCGATCTTGTACAGTACTTCGTCCTGGCGCATACAGTCGGGATCCCAATCGCGGCCGAAGCGAATGACGACGAGACGATCTTCTTCTGAGAGGTTGTTAGTGGATGACAGGCAGAAAGGTTTGGGGGGTTGTATTTACCTGAGAGAATGGCTTGGTCCACATGCCAGCCGGTGTTGAGATGGGGAAGTACGACGGATCCCATGATGAGTGTACGAGAGCGCAAATGGTTCGTTAGTATGTGGTTATACGGCGACTACTTGGGCGAGTAGTTGGCGATGGTACGATCGAATTTGGTGATGGTGTTTTGGAAAAGGAAAGACACTATGATGGAAGGCGGCGGGATGTCATGAGGTGGGTTATGTGGGGCCATGCGCTAGCCATGTTTGGCCTCAGGTGAACAAATTCTCACCTTAGCCGAATATCAACCCAGAGTGGGAGCACAAAAGCATATACTGGAATTTGAGGACAGTTTTTATGCAGCTAAAGACTGCAAGACAAGCCATCACATTCGGTATATAATTTTCCAGTAGGATCCTTTTCTGAACCATATCCATATAAACTTCTCGCTTAATGTTGAGCCCACGGGACTTATTTTCGCTTATCAAACTCATCAATGACACTCCTCGGTTTGAAATACTTCCCCAAAGGCTCAAACTTGAGATGGCCAAGCCCAAAAGCCTCGGGGCCCCCAATCTTTATCCCTCTTTTAGTTCCTGTCCACCTGTCACTTGCCGATATTCCCAAAACCACAACAAGCAACCCATAGCGATATTCAGGTGTCCCAACTGCCTCTCCGTTCTGTGCATCAATTACACAGACTAAATCTGGCACAATAGCTAGGATATCCTCCTGGAGCTCCTCCTTCCGATCAGGGTGGACTCTCAAGGCAGCTATATTCTCGTTCTTGAAGGGAATCTTGACAACCCCCCTGAACTGTTCAGAAATATCCCCTGAAGCCACATGTTCATCGCGAACATCAGCCCCTTCAATGAGACACTCGCCATAAACATGCCCGTTTCTCAAGGTTCTCTCCACGCCAATAATTTTGCCCTTCCACAGAACCTTGCCGGCTCCTCGGCCGCCACACTCTTCGATGATCGTTTCAGCGACATTGTCGATGCGGTTCTCTTTCCGTGCCCGAGCTAAGGCGCGACCTATTCTCCAGGACTGTGATAGCGTATGTTCGATAGCCCAGCGTTTTGTCTCTTCTCCTGTGACAGGTGCATCTGCGGCGCCAACTTGAGAGCCCATCCCGCTCAAGGCAGAGCGGATGATACGCTCAACAGCTTCGTCGGACGATGCTTTGGGCATGACGAGCACGTTGCCGTTCCCGTCGCTCACGGCAATGGGTGACCAGATAGGGTCCCTCTCCTTGAAAACAACAGGTGTTGTTTGCCATTTTGTGGGATATGCTCTCCCCATCCAGTCTCCGTCAACTGTAGGGATGTCCATCTGATCACTTGACCCAAGCAACAACCCGCTCAAGCCATTGGCGCCTCCGACTTCAACAGATATCATGTGAGTAGCGGAAGTATTGCACATCTTGTACAATTCTTGTTGAGCTTCGAGTAGCTCATCACCAGCCAGCTTCTCGATCGCAACGGTAGGACTACCTACCCCGCCACCACAACCAACTCGTGCATCGTCTGGAAGATCTTCGGGATTGACCACTCGAATCATAGCACCGTTGCGTAACTGAGTTCGCAGTCGTACCATCAGACCGTAGGGGCTACCGCCGCCTCCAGTGCCAAGAATGTAGCAACCTGTTGCGATCCATGATACATCCCTTTCAGAAACATACCATGTTCGGTTTCTCACATCTGGACGGTACGACAGGATATCAAAGTCCTCATCTCGTCGTGTATTATGCTTTCGGCCTGTGTTCTTGGTATTCTTCTGATCGTGTCCCATGTTTTGATGGTCTCTGTGCTCGGCCTGAAATTCAGGGGCAACAACGTCTTTCGAGAAATCGAAGTCTCCAGTCGCCCGAACAACAAACCGAGTTTTGTTTTCGATATACTGTCATCTCGTTAGGAAGCTCCAGAGCATTCGCATATCAGTTGCCTACCTGAAGCGGGAAAACTTCCTTCTCAACAACTTTGACAGTCGATCTCAGAGCTCGAGCCTCAACAGTCTTTTCAACGGCAGCCCGACTAACCTCATCAAGGCACTCGTTGGTCGATTTGGATACGGTCGACTGAACTCTGTCCACAACCGCACTCACCCTTGCTATCGCAGCACCAATAGCATTGGCGACCTGTGACCACTGCGGTTTGATAACCTTACTCGCGCCCTTGAGCTCATCGGGAGCAATGACAGCTCCACCTCCTACCAGAATAACTGGTATGTCCTTGGGTGATGTCTTCATGGTGTCAATAACCTTTTCTAGTTTGTGTTTAATTGTCAAACTAATATTCGTTAGCTGATCCTCAGAAAGAGCGTCTTTCATGAGGACTGGGTCGCCAATCTTCAGCTCTGGATTTGCTAGGACAGTGCAATCGGTAGCTGTAAGAACATTTCCTCCAAATACAACTGCTTCCTCAGGAAGTTTATATCCCACACTATCTGGCCCAACAGAGACACTACTGTCTATCCGTACAATAGAACCTCCGCCGAGACCGATGCTCTTGATATCAGGACAAGAAAAGTTCATCCTCACTCCCGAAAGATCGCTGTAAGCTGCCTGTTGACGAGGAAAGCCGTTCTCCAGTAGAATCCCGACATCAGATGTGGTTCCTCCAATATCAACAACCATCATGGCTTCGTCCAGGTTGCCTTGCACAAGGAAAGCAGCTCCTCTCATGCTGTTGGTAGGGCCGCTTGAGAAAGTTCGGATCGGTAAACGAGCAGCAAGTTCGCCAGACAGGACAGTGCCATCATTCTGAGTAATAAACACCGCACAATCCCCCAGGCCTAGCCTCTTAACCGGTTCGTGAAACGATCGAATAGTCTTTCGGGCAAAAGGCAGAATGGAGGCGTTGAGAATAGCGGCGTTTTCTCTTTCGAGAAAGCCCAGATTGGCAACCCCCTTGGAGCATACAACGTCACAACCGGGTATTTCAGCCTTGATGACATCTGCCGCTCGCTCTTCTTGTCGTTCCACTGTATCAATAGGACTGAAAATGCCAACAACAACCACACTATTAATCCCTTTTTGTTTGATAATCGAACACTGCGTCTTGATCTCGTCTGGATCAATATCGGATATCAAACGGCCATCAACTTCCAGCCCGCCGTGTACCAGGGCATGGTGACCCAGGATAAGCTCTCTCATGTCATCAGGCCAGTCGACACAAGGCAAGTTATGCTTCGAGAAGGGTCCGCAGAGACGAATCACAGCAACCCGTGACAGTCTCGCAGCATCTCTCTCAACAACAGCATTAACAAATTGCGTTGTTCCTATAGTCACGCTTGCGACTTCATGAGGGCGAATAGAACTTGAGCTGAGCATCGTAGTGAGTGTATTGCTGATACCGACGCTTGGGTTCGCAGTTGTCGGTTCTTTGTGCCATGCGATGATTCCACGATTAGGCCCAGAGCTCAAGAGGTGATCGAGGAGGACACCGTCTGTGTTAGTCCCACCAACGTCGATGCCAATTCGAAGACGCCGCGATGCTATGGTTGTGTTCATGGTGGATAGTTATGCCCACTCGTGGTGTCGTCCTGTTGATATTCCAGTGTTGGCAGATAATCGATAGGCTCCGAACAACTTGTTAGACGACTGTCGCTATGTGAGCGCTTTATGATAGAGAAACAAGATCATGTCACACAACAGTTTGACCCGGTGCCGGCGATTGAGCTCCGCACGAGAGAGCTTGGCTATTATTGGTCTCGTGTGGGGTGCTTTCATCGAAGGATTGGATGGATCAAGCATGTTGGAGCTTCAGATCAAAGATAAGATCCTTATCAATCAGTGGAATCTCTCGGGTCGCCAGTGCATCAAAGGTTTTGACCAGTAATCAGCCACGACAACAAGATTGACTATTCTATAGTAAAGAATTTGAAGCACATGGCCCAAATGATTTACCCTAGCATCGCCTGTCCTATTAATGACAGATCTTTCGCCACAGTTGACAAAATTCATCATCTTCAAAATAAATGGAAACGTGAATTCTTATTCATACATTGATTACCATCCATCCTATGACTACCTTGTGAGAGGCATCGAGCTGCAGTCTAACCACAGCTCTGACTATCCCCAACGATCACCTATCCACATCTCGTCCTTGAGTAATAAACAAAGCTATCATAGTATACTAAGGCTTGTATGCTATTTCTGCGTTCCTCCTGGAAATATTCCAGCCGAAGAGTACAGAAAGAAGAAAATAAAAAAAATAAAAGTTCGCCTCTCATAGAAAGGATCATGGAATCTTGCGTATTTCTCACGACGCCTTTAACGCCAATTCTGTGTGTACCATCCCGGTGCGTCGCTCCGCATGAAGCCCTGGCCAGAAGTTGGTAAAAAATAACGAGTCTCATGCAATCATTGTCCCTATGCCAGTCCCCGTGCTTTCGTCTATTGCAAAATACACTGTCCATTGTTTGGTGCTTAAATCTCGATTGTCTTCATCGATTCGTCCACCACCTCGGGTTTCTTGCCGTTCGCCTTGGGAGATGGCTCTTCTTCCACCTTGAGGAGGTCGGATTCCACTCGGGGAATGCTGGTTGTCACTTTAGGTAGTTTGCTGTCCTGGCTTGGCCGGGGACTTTCGACCTCTACAAGCTTCTCAGGCTGGATATATGCGTCGGCCAGCTCTGGAATCGTTGTCTCCTCTGTGACCTTACTCAAAGGTGTCGCCTTTCCGTATCCTGCGCCTGGCCGGGGGCTGGCCAAAGGAGATGATCCACTGAGTCGTTGCATAGATCGGCCCCGAGGCTCGCCATTCTCACCACCACTACCATAAGGTGAAGAAGAACGCGAGCCAAGAGGAGAATTAGGCTTGGGTCCCATTGACCTTCGGTTTGAGGCTGCCCTTCTTCCGTATTTCTGATCCATTCTCCACCGCAGGATGCTGAAGTACGATGGCTCAACTCTTGTCTCTTTGAACTCTCGGAGCTTCAATTCGTTGGTTTCCTCATCCACATACCACTTGCCACTGTTGAGATCATCCGCGACAACAGCCAGGAACGCAGCCCAAGAGCGCGCGACAACGTATTTAGTATCGTAGTCACGACCAAACAGAATGATCTGACCCCACTGGC